ATAATTAGGTGTGAAGATAAAAAGAAATTGATCGTTGAAAAAGATTCTTCACTTTGGCATAATCAATTAAATTATGTAAAAAAATTTTCTCTTTTTCACATTGGTATTTCACGCTTTGGATACGTGAAGAGCGTAAAAAAATACTGGAAGGATATATCAGCAGATGAACCATAAGTATCGGTCAATCTGGCCACGAGCCTGGGTCAGCTGTCAGTTGTGTTTGTCCTTGCAGCTTCGTGGCTCCATAGGGCGCCATTAACGGGCACGAACCACATCCCAGGCCCACGTTTCTCATCTCTCCTCTCTTCTCCCGTGGACAAACGGCCGTCCACCGAATGGACCATACGTTTTTTTTACTCCTCGATCCCTCGTTTTCCCCAATTTTTTTCCTTCCTTCTATTTTTTTTCTATAGGAATTCTCGGGGGGAGCCGTGCGTATGTGTGCTCTTCCGCTAAACGGAAGCTTTTTCATCGATTGACGCGAACGTAACGACTTTGTCTCGCAGCGGGAATGCACTGTGATTTTTTTTATTTATCTTTGACTCTTTCAGTTAAAGAAAAAACAAAAAAATCGGAGGTTTTTTCTATTTGCTCTTAAAAGCCCTCACGAATATGATTAATTTCACGAAAAAAATTGATGATGAATTCATTCACTTCGTGAGATGGTTCTATTTTTGATTTAAAAAATCGTCTACTTCATGAAGGCTTGTATTTTTAGTCTCTGAGAAAATAAATACTTTATTTTTACGAACGAAGTAAATAAAACCTCTCGCAGGAACGAAAATAGTTTTGTTCTTTACAAGACTGACGAAAGAATAACAGGGGAAAGGCGATTGAACGAAAGGGGTTGAATGTATTCTTCCATTCGATATCCTGACGATATCCTTCCATTTCTATTTATTCGCGCAGATTGGTAGGACAGCACGTGCCCAGGGAAGTGTGCTCTTCATTCGGAAAAATTTTACCAACCCTTTTATCACGTTTTTCTCCCCTTTTTCCAATTTTGGGGAGAGACGATGCAAATGGATGGGGAAAGAGAGATGAATTCTTTGACGTACCACAGCCGGGAGGGATCTCCGTACTGCTGCTGTACCTGAACGAATAACCGGGCAGAAGTAACGGCGTAGGTGGAAGGGTGGAGGTTTAAACAGCTGTTGGTTGTACCCTTTTTTTCTCGAGTGAGAGGGCAAAAATCGGACTCTGTGGAGCTGTCGAGATGATTTTTTCTGCAGTTCTCCGAATTTCAGACTTTTTTCTAGTAGGAATTGAGTGAAAATTCAAGGCAATGATCAATCCGATTTAACTGTGTAATATTTACTTCAGTTAGTCGACATGTAATACCGAAATACATGAGCATAAAATAGAATAAATTCTAAAACTCGGTGCAATTTCTAAAATATTTGAAACTACCCAGAAAAATGAAGCATAAATCACTTAATAGCTCGAATTTCCCATGTACTGTGAGCATCCATTGTTCCCCAATTATGGAGAATGGCCACGTGTCTGGCCGTCAGAAGAAAACCAAAATTCTGAAGTCAAAATGACCCCGGCGATCACAAATCTAGCCCAAGTTTCCAGCGAAATGGCTTTTGAAAATTTTATTCGACCAGGATTAGCCCCCTCATCCTCCTTCGCCATTTATTGTTGGCGCTTGAGGCATCACGGGGTGGGCGTCAGTCGTAAAAATTTGTGAAGAAACAAAGTCATAGTGTCTCTCCAGTTTTCTTTAATCCACACATTGTTGTGCGAAAAACCCGAGAGTTAAAACCTGGACGGGGTTAGACTCCATAAACATTCGGGCATTTTCCCAACTACTGACTTCCCAGTATGGGATAACGTAATTGTCACAGTTTATGGTGACTTCGGTAACTACTCCACCCACTACCCTTTTTGAATTAGCCGGCTAGGGGGTACCACCCACTCCACTGTACCTGGAGAGGTAAACTTCGAGGAATTAATGGAGCAAATGTTGCTGCTTTTATTTTGGAATTAGTTATTCACAAAGGCGGAATATACAACGCCTTAATTTTTCATTCTCTCCAATGATAATACAATTAACGTTTTGAATATCGTCATGATGGAGTTGGCAAGTGGATCTGGTTGGAATGAGTGACAGCATGAAGGTAAATAGTGTTCTTAATTCGATGGCGATTCCCCTTACTCGACGACTTGATGAGATTGAAGGTGGCAAGTGGTGTCATTGCGAAGGCGGAGAAATTCAATCGCAAAGTGAAGAGAAAAACTTTTCACTCGATGGAATGAATTTTTTTAATGGGATTCCCCCGGCTCTCTCGTGGAATCTTCGATGCTATCATGTTCTGACGTAAGAATGATGCTCTGAAATTGATGAAAATAGGGGCGCGACACATCATGTGGCTCGACTACTTTTGTCGGAATATTTACAAGAGTTTGCGAAAGTCGAAAGTCGACCCAGTGGGCCAATAAAAAAATCATAAATTAACCAGAAAATATTCACTGACCTTGGCAATGAGTAGACGCTGGGTGAAAAGGATGGAGATGTTTTGAAAATGTGGATCGGTGAAGGTAAAAGGGATTTCAACCGTATTTCATATTTCTTCAGGGGTCATCTGGTTTTTCTTGGACGCTCCGTTATCCCTTGCGACCTGGCTTAACGCAAAAACTTAAACAAAAACCGTTTGGTTGTTATTTATGGCCGAAGGGAGTGTCCGCATTCTAGAATGAAGGGAAAACTTTTGCAAAAAATTGAGCCGAGAGTTGGGAATATTTTTAGATATTTGCGTAACAGCTGGCTGATGCAAATTTTGGAAAAATGAGGTAGCTGCTCTACCTGAGGCTGTCAACCTCCCTGCGGTTTTTTCCTCGTTCACCTAGAATTGTGCATGCAATTACGAACCCCCCTGGAGGCTCGCCGGGAAGGTAAACTCGTAAAGTCAAGTATTGGCGAAAGATTTCTGGGAAAGTTGAGGACAGAATGAGGCCCGCATGACTCCCTTTACCCAAACTGAATGGCTGAAAAATTCTAGAAGTTATTGAAAGATGATATGTAAAAGATGTTCCCAATTTTTAAGACGGTTATTTACAGCCCCCATTGAAATCCCCTAATCCAAAACGATTTAGAGTTTAAGGAAATACGGTGTAGGGCCATAACAGAGACACTGGCTTGGTTACGGATAAAATCCTCTCAAATATTTTACAGTGTCGAGGGAAGGTACCTCAGGGTGGCAATAAAACCGGGAGAAGGGGTTTTTCGGGCAGCGGCTGGGTTGCAACGCTCGGGGAGTGTCCGGCCGACAGGCAACTGGCAATTGGTTTTCCAGAAGGTGGAAAATGCGCCGGGGTATGAACGAAAACAGTTAACCGCGTTGCGTTTCTAATACTTCGTAACTGTCGCCCGGTCATAAAGAGATTTTGGAGGAAGGTAGCCAGCACCTCTCCCTCACCGGGTCATGGTCCCCAACATTCTGAGGGATTAGGAGAGGGATAAAGGGTTGAGGGACAATTTTTTTGATGAAGACATTTTTTTCCCTCCAATTTTTTTCCCTTCTTTAATCCTCCGAGGGGAAATGGAGGTTTTACTGCACCTGTAGCCGGGGGCATTGGGAGAATATTTTGAAGGGGTGAAAAAATTGGGGACCTTTGTCAAATTTTTGGATTTTATGAGAGCAAAAAATTTGGATTATGTTGAAAATTTATTGAAAATTGTTAACAAAAATGAAAATTCTGAATGAAAGAGAGCTTCATCATGAGATCAGGGGTTTCATATTAATTTTGAAAGAATTATTTTACCAACTCAAACGTTTTTAGCCTGGATTTTGGAAAGTGCTGGGGCACAACGGCTTGACTTTTTTATTCATGGTAAAATTTACTTGTTGTCATAATGATACCATTTGCAACTTGCAATCTTATAGAGTTCTCGGAGAGATAAAAAATGTTGTTGAATGGAGGAGCAATATTCTCAATTCGAGAAGTATTTTTTCTCTGCGCAGTTGGAGAAATGAAAGTGGAGAAAATGTGTCGTATCGAGAATGGGAGACGGACCATCAAAAAAGCCCCCGAGATTGTCTGGAGGGTTGAGGGCAATGGTACTGGCTGGGCTTCCTCGAAACGAGAAAACGAGAGTAGTTTTTGGCATTCTCCCCCTTCACAAAAAAGAGTGGCTGAGAGCAAAGTCAGATACAATCTATTTCCCTTTGTTTTCCCCCCACAATATTCTAGAGCAAGCGAAATTTCACATTATTCATCGGTGAATGGTGTCTCCATTCATGAGAGTCTTATCCTCAATTTTCCCCAGTTCCTTAAATGAATTAATAGATGGATGCAACAATTTTAATTCAATTCAACCAAATTCAACTATATTCTTTTCATTTTGAAATTACTGCTTTGGTCTTGAAAGTGCGGTCTGACCCGATCGAAACGTATCACTTGCGCAAGAGTACCTGATCCCCCCTCATCTCTACCCCACCGTCCTCCACTCTAATCTCTTTTACTCATCATTTATCCCCGAGGTGATGAATTTCATGAAAAACCACCAGAAGACATGTTCTGCAGAGTGATTCTCCTCCTGGAAATGTCCCTTGAAATTTTCCCCTGGAATAATTCCCCCTAAAAATGATCCAAACATTCACTCATCGAAAACTTCTCATCCCAAACAAACCAAAGGATTTAATGAAACGCAGACGACAAAGACACAAACAAACAGTTCGGACTGACCACGCGGAGCGCCGAGGACCTCAACTCGAAGCAATAGAGACACAACATCCCCCCTTGATCGAGCAAAAAGAGAAGAAAAATCGTGAAACCGAATGAAAGGAAAATGCGTCCATCGAGCGAAGGGTGGGGAAGCCCGCAACTCGTGGTGGGGGTTGACCGGTTAGCGAAAACCCTATGAATCCATGCCTAGGGCTCCTCCGATTGGTCCGATGAGACCCCTTGTGGCGGGGGGCAGGAGGGTGGCTGCCCCGAAAATCTACAAATAAGCCGGTACGCCACTTCTGCGACACCGAGACATTTTTCGTCAGTCGATCACGGACATCCAAGGGAATGCACGTTCACTGCGAGTCTCCTTTAAAAATCTCCAAGTTTTCCTTTTCTTTCGCTGAAGCACTTGTGTTTAGTCAGTGACACTGCGATCAACAATCGAATTCACATGTGTTATGCGAAGTTGTAACAGTGAGAAGTTGATTTTTAAAATTTTGGAGTGCGATTTTTATCGTCGGATTCCGATTCGAGGAATTTGAGGTGAGAAAATGCTGGTTTTAAGTTCTTTTTAATTTGAAGGAGTTATGGGGTTCTTTTCCCTTCAAATTGCAGTTTCTTTGAGTTATTTTTAACATTTTTTTCTATAATGGAAAGTTGAATAACAAGATCGTTATTTCATGCATTTTTTCGTGATTTTATTCTTTCGATTTCGGTAGCTTCACTCGGCAATTCTTCGATGGTTCCGGGAAATCTCATTATTTTTATTCTTATTCCTCGTCCCTTTATCCTGTTTTTGTGCCACGTATCACGAGAGGCTAGTCCGAAAATTTGTGATAGCGAGGTTTTGCGGCAAGTGGCTCCGATGTATTTACTCTTTATTCTTTGAATTTTTTTTCCAGCGATTTGTTGTTGTTTTCAGACTGAATATCAGTCTCCTTTCATTTTCGGATAACGAAAACATTCTCGAAGTGTTAGAATATAATTACTCTGGCCCTAAAATTGAGTTTGCGATAACGAATCTAATTTTATTCCATCGAAATCCCTCAAAAATCGGTTGAATCGAACAATTAAATCCAAGAATCAATCAGGCAATCAATTAAAAATTTTATCCACCAACTTTTCTCATAAAAACGAGGAAAAAAAATCCTCAGAATTGTCCCGATCAATTATTTTCACTAGATCTAGGCAAGAAACCCCATTATAATCGTTTGAAATCCTCGAAAAATCGGTTCAATGGAGTAATTCACCCAAAAATTAACCAAGCAATTAATTAAAAACATCGTATCCACCGACTTTTCTCATAAAACCGAGGGAAAAAAATTCCCAGAATTGTACCGATCAATGATTTTCAACGAATAAAAAATGGTGGAAAGAAAAAAATAGCCGAGAGCCATCACGACAGGGGAAGATATTTATCGGAGCGTCCAATGCCTTTCACGCGTGTCCCGTGAGTGGGTGGAGACGAATGAAAAAAAAGGGGGACTAGAGTAAAAGGGGATGAATCGATCGATCGTTAATCGTGAGGGGCATTTCCTATATGGAGAGTGATTATCATTATCCGAACGGGAGAGCAGGAGATTCGAGCGGGAACAAAAAAAAATAGAAGGAGATAAATTCTCGAGCACTCAGAGAAGCTCTCCCCCCTCCGCCCCTCTCTCCCGGGGTATTTTTTCCGCCCCTTTTGTAGTTGAACGTAAAAACAGGAGACGAGGGAATTTATTTTCGATTGATACTGCGTGGAGAGAAATTTATTCTTTATTTCCCATCATTTCTGGGGGGGAGGGGGGGGTTTGTTGTAGGACACCGATCGATCTGTTTTCGCCAGGTTCTTTTATCAGTTTTAGTTCGTGATGGGTTTGTTTATGGATTCATCGGGGTCTGAGGATTTTCATTGATTCAATTCTTTTATTTTGGTCGAGAGGGAAAATTGATTTTGCGGTTTGGGAAAATATTTTCTCATTTTCCGAGAATTTTGAAGCGTTGGGAAAGGTAAATAGTCCGCGGTTATACATGAGGGACAATTTTGCGATTGTAACGATGGAGAATCGCGTGAAGCGTTATTTCGAGAGGAAATAATTGAAAATGTATTTTTAAAAGCCGTTGAATGAAATCAGTTTTTAATTTAATTAAATCCCCATTGGATTTAAAACTGAGTTTAATTGCAGTCGATCATTAGACGAATTTTATTCACGACAAAATGAAAATCTTCCGAAAAATTGTTCGCGCGTCTACGTGACTTGGGGAGAATAATTTAAAGCCCTCAAGGGTTGTTTATCTCAAAAATGACTTTTGGCATGCATAAATACCCTTGTCTACCCAACTTCTGGGTAAAGACGTCAGAAATGTGGGTATGAATGCGTCAAGAGAGGTAAGAAAAGTCACACCAGGCTTTCGATCTCGTTATTTACGACCTCTACGCAGATTTTAAGCCCCGAGGAACAATGGGTCGACATATTTTGCGGAGTGAAGGGGATTTTGAGGGAAAGAGGAGGACAGAGTGAGGGGTGAATTTTCGCCGGGGGTCCTGAGGTCGGGGGCGAGGTAAAATATAATGGGGCCCTGCTCCACTTGAATAAATGAATCCTCTTTGAGTGGCCCGGAGTTTTCTGAAGAAGGCCGAGGGGAAAGGGCCTTTTTTGATTCTTCTTCTCATTCTTTCACTTCCGTGAACCCTCGGCGACACTGTCCACCCCTTTTTGCTTTCCTTCTCTCGCTACCGGAACGTCTCGAGAAAATTTGAATGCAAACACGCGAAAGAGGGGAAAATTGAGTAAAAAATATTCGATTTTTTTGACGATTTTTCGAGAATAAATCTTGTTCGGTGACAATGGGCGAGTTTGAATAATAGGAAACCCTTTTTTGGGCTCACCCGGGGGAAAAAAATGAAGAACATCTGCATACGCTTCTGAAGGGATATCCCTTGGATTTTACGGCTTCGAATGTGAAAGAAAAAAATACAAAAACGAAGGAATACATTCCTTTGTGAATGAAGAGAAATTCAATATCGATTGTTTGCAGAAATGACCGGCAGATCCGTTTGCCTCAATTTCTTTCCAGTGGTCGCTCTTCAGCTGCAGAAACACTGTTCACAACTTTTCTCGTCACCTCCCCGATTATTAAAATTGTTGCATTAACGCGGGGCGATTTATGTTTGCAGGAATTGCAAGGAGAGTTAAAAAATGCACGGAAGCTGGGCGTCGGCGGAGCTGCAGCAGCCGGGTCTAATGGAGGATAATCATTCCCTCCATTCGCCAACCCCGCCCGTTTGGGGCATCACGGATAGAATAGCGGTGAGTAATTCCGCCCCAGCTCAATTCCCCCTTTCAGCATAAAAATCCGTCTCTCCTACGCATTCCATTCTTTTTTTTTTGCCTCCAGTCCCCGCCAATGGGTTTCTCCCCCTTGGACTGGGGTGTCGGCAAAATGTCGGCCTCTCATTTTTATTTTTGTCACAAAAACTTTCATTTTTATTAAAGTAAATTATTAATAATCATAAAAAATGATTTATTATTAATAATTTATTTTTAATATATAAAATAATTTGTTAAAATAATATTTATTATTTTAAAATAATTGATTAATTATTAATTATTAGTAAATTTTGAACTTGTCAATTCGTTAATATTAATCTACAATTGTCAAGTATTAAATTAATCATCAATTGAGAAATTGATTTGATTGCATTGAGTATTTTATTTTATCAATTATTTAGTTTTCACCTGGAGCATTATTCGGAATAATAATTCGACTTTGATTTTCACTCGATTAATCATTTAATTAAATAATTTAAGTTTAATTGATCATTTAATTTTTCCAAAAAGGAAGTCTCACTCAGCGACAAGAACAACGACTCAGGGGCCTCCTCAGGTCACTACACATTCTCGGGTTCTCCAAAAAGTGTGAGATCCTCTTTCACTGCCACCAGCAGCCTCTCACCAGGGAGCGTAGGATCCGGTGATTCCCAGCCGATGCCGGGCTGCAGCTACGATTACAGCCCCCAGAGTGGCTTCAAAAGCAGTCCATCACCCCTGGACTTCTCCAGACTACCCGGAATGGACGATCTTGCAGGTCCCTCTGGACTGCAGCAGCCTATGGACGTTGAAGGCACGAATGCTGGAAGTGATGCGTCCGAGGGGGGTCAGGAGAATCTGCAATGCCCTGTCTGTCAGTTCGCAGCGGAAAACAGGTAAGAATCACCCCAATTACTCCAATTAAACTGACAACCGATGGCAGTAAATTAATCAGCAACAGAAGAGCTGATACTTCTGTGGATTCTCCTCTGCATCCAGTCACCCCATCCCCGCCAAGTCCATCCACTATAATCACGAAACAATTCGCCACTGCGATTGCCCCAATCTTCTAAAAAACAAACACACGTTTCTCCTCCTCCAGATTAAAAATTATTGACTCTTCATGATTCAGAATTCCTTTTACTGCGATGACATCATCTTCTCAAAAATATGAAACAAGTTGTTCAGTATTTTTTACTCCATTCAATTACAGAAATATCGATGAAGATTATTATCAATTATAAGGTATTTTTCTAATCTCAAAATTAAAATTAATCAACGAAAAGTGATAGATAATTGCCTGGAGGAATAGCCCAGAAACTGCGGAAAAATAGAATGATTACCTAGAAATATTTGATACGAATATATTTTTCGAATTCAGAAAATTTATTCCACCGAAATGTTGAAAGAAAGTACAGATGGCTGTAGCTCCCACTTAATTACTGATACTTCGAGAAGACATTTGTGACTCAATATGAAAATAAATTCAGTCGTGAAAATAGAACTTTCATCGAGCACTTTCGATTAGTTTTTCCTTTCTCATAGCATCAGGGACGACTCAAGTACAATTGAATACTCCATTAATGAGAGGAAATAATCCAATGAAAACTAGCAACAGAAGAGCTGACACTTCTGTGGATTCTCCTCTGCATCCAGTCACCCCATCCCCGCCAAGTCCATCCACTATAACCACGAAAGAATTCGCCACTGCGACTGCCCCAATCTTCTAAAAACTGACATACGTTTCTCCCCCTCCAGATTACAGCTTCGTGACCACCTGACAGGCCACTGCACGAGCACTGACACCCCAGACTTCGCGCACTCGCTCTTCCCCCAGCTCTCCCCCTCGGCGAATCCCCAGCTGAGTCCAATGGACGACATCAATCGGGCATCGACATCATCGGGTTCCGGGCGCTCCGAGCACGACTCCGAGGACATCGACGAGCCCGGTGTTCGCACACCTCGAGTCAACTCCCAAGGGAAAGTGAAGACCTTCCGCTGCAAGCACTGCAGCTTCCTAGCTGTGACGAAGCTCGCCTTCTGGGAGCACTCTCGAATCCACATCAAGGCCGAGAGGCTCCTGACCTGCCCCAGGTGTCCCTTCGTCACCGAGTTCAAGCACCACCTCGAGTACCACATTCGCAATCACTTCAAGTCGAAGCCCTTCAAGTGCGACAAGTGCTCGTACTCCTGCGTCAACAAGTCCATGCTCAACAGCCACTTGAAGTCTCACTCCAACGTCTACCAGTACAGATGCGCCAACTGCTCGTACGCCACCAAGTACTGTCACTCATTGAAGCTGCACCTGAGGAAGTACAATCACCAGGCAGCGATGGTGCTCAACGCAGACGGCACGCCCAACCCCCTGCCCATCATCGACGTTTATGGAACGAGGAGGGGACCCAAGCGAAGGCCAGTGGCACCAAAGCCCGAGGCAGCTCCTGTCAGCGTCCCTCAGGGGCCCCGGATGCTGCCCCAGTTGGGAACGCTGACCCCGATGTCCATCAACAACGGATTCAACCCGATGCTGGCCTTCAACCCCTTGAACTCCATATTCTCTGGTCTGCCAGTTGTCAATGGGTTCGGTGGAGGTGATGTGGAGAAGATGGAGGGAGTCAAGGCTAATATCTTCGTTGAGTACGCCAAGGCTATGGTTGCTGACAGGCTCAATGCTGATTTGCCTCAGGATGGCCTGAATTACGGACATTCTGGGAATGGGGGTTTTGGAGGCGGTGATTATCAGTTCGAGGGGGCCGCGGTGGCTAATGAGGGGGAGGGGAGGAACGAGGGAAACAGCGGCTTCGGAGCCCCTCTGGACCTCAGCAAACCTGACACTTCGGCTGGTAATAATGGCAATGGGGATGCGGAGGCGCAGGGGGAGAGGATTGAAAATTCACCGAGGACCGGTGGGAAGAGCAGGCGCAAGGGGAAGGCTGTGAAGCTTAATAGACAGGTTGCGGAGAGGGAGGATGAGAGGGAGGTGGTTCATAGTGGAGATCATGCAGCTGGGGTGGAGAGGGAGGAGACGGAGGGATCGGCGGGGAGTGCCAGCGGTGGTGGCCCCTGCCATGAGTTTAGATGTCAGTACTGTGAGATCACTTTTGGTAATGAAGTCATGTACACTGTTCACATGGGGTATCATGGGTACAGCAATCCGTTTACTTGTAACATGTGTGGACATCAGTGCGAGGACAAGGTGTCGTTCTTCCTGCATATTGCCAGGGTCAAACATGCGTAGGGGGAGGGTGGGGGACAGTTTGAAGAGTTTTTTGGAAGGATTGAGTTGGCAGAGAAGTGGTGAAAGAGTTTTTTTGTGGTTTATCCATCCATTACTGAATCGAGATTATTATTGTATTATGAAAACGCAGTTTGAGCCTCGGCGGTCTAGTCATAAGTACCGAGGGACACCTGGGAGGGTCCTGAGTACTCGGGTGCAATTATTACCACAATTTTTTTTTATTTGCTAATTGCGGGATTTTCTGATGGGCCAATTCATGAGACCTGAAGGGGAGTGATGGAACGGTTTAGGGGACAATATCGAAAAGCCGCTTTTGCAGAGAATTATTTCCAACAAAAAACGTCTCTTGATATTTTTCCGTGGAGCTACTCGTGACGGAGGTAATTCCATTTTTAACGAGCCGAAGAAAATTTTGGTTTTCTCTGGTTGTGTTCCATCACTCCGTTGTCAGGCTGATCTACGCTTTTTATTCCATCATCTTGAAAAGTAATGAATGCATGGCGACTCAGAGCCTCTTTAGTCTCGACCAAAAATGTAAATATTGTATGAATACTACTACAAATAAGCCATTATTATATTTTTCATCTGAATTATCAACATCGAGAGGACGAAATTCGTCTCTCTTCGGAATTTTTACAGCAGAGGAATCAGACGTCGGTTTTTTATCTCTTGTATCGAGATTTTTTTTTTTTGAGGCAGCTCGTAACCCCTAGTTTTAGGAATTAATTAGTCTGGTGGATTCACTCTGAGAAATTCCGAAGAGATTATTTTACTGAATGAGACAAATTCTCTCGATGTTTGTGATGAAAAAAAATATTCACTGCGGTGAAGACTGAAGCTAATATCCGAGGGAACATTAATCGCTCAAAGTACATGAGAGCAGAATTCCAATAATATTATAAAGACAATGCTGGAGTTGAATGAACTCAAGAAACAATTGATCACCCAATTCTTCGTGATTCAGAATTCCTTTTATTGTGATGAGATTATCCTCTCAAAAATATGAAACAAGTTGTTCAGTATTTTTTACTCCATTCAATTACAGAATTATGGATGAAGATTATTATTAATTATAAGGTATTTTTCTAAGCTCAAAATTAAAATTAATCAACGAAAAATGATGGATAATTGCCTGGAGGAATTGCCGAGTCGTGCCATAGCAGACGACCCTTGTAAATCTTCCTAGAAACTGAGGAAAAATAGAGTGATTATATAGAAATAATTGATATGAATATATTTTTCGAAATCAGAAAATTTATTCCAACGAAATGTTGAAAGAAAGTACAGATGGCTGTAGCTCCCCCTGAATTATTGATAAATCGAGAAGACATCTGTGACTTAATATTAAAATTAATTCAATTGTAAGAATTAAATTTTCTTCGAGCATTCTCAATGTTTTTCCTTTCTCATTGCATCAGGGATGACTCAAGTACAATTGAATACTCAATTAACGAGAGAAAATAGTTCAATGAAAACTAGATACACAAAGATAGTGAAAAATGTAAATTAGACGAACGTTTGCATACGGGAGAGTTTTGTATAAATTACGATAAGTTGATAAACGAAAAGTTTGCTTTTCTGAGCCAAAAATCAAAGAAACGTTAGATTACGAAATGACGAGTTGTATTATTCGATTAACAATGGAAATAATGAAATGTCATTTAGGTCTAAGAACACGGAGTCACGTAATTTCAACATTCCCTCTTATGTACAGAAATTTTCCATACAAGAGTCATTATTAAAAAGTGAAATACTTGTTATTAATTTTCCCACATGCAAAAAATAATATTTCCCTATCTAAAATTGAGATGATACTTGAATGAAGATTTTTGGAGAACAAAACTATGAAAACAGTAATTTCTGTTTCTTCTGTGATTCAATAATTTATTTAATTATAATATCACCAACCATCATTTACAGATCTCAATGTATACTCTCTGATCATCACTCACAAGCCCTATAACGGTGACATAATACTGAAACTAATGTTGAACAGTTTTGAATAGTCCTCAAACGCCTATGAATTGAACGAATGCAGTATGATAATTATTTATTGTTCTCTTTAACGTATTAAACGTGCAGTATTCACTGAGTTGCCTCTGATGGACTCGTTGATGCTCCCTAGTGTGTCCTCGACACTCTGCAGTGGTCCAGCCGGTCCTAGCGAGCTTAGTCGACGGTCCTAGAATTTTTTCAAGCAAAATTTCCACTCATTACCTAGTTTATTATTTTCAAAATAGCCAGAGGAGCATTTGTTGGAAGATCTAGATCAGAATAGAAATCATGAGCATGCAAAAGTGTGAAAGAATGAGTCGATTGATTTATTAATAAGTTAATCACTACGAGACAGAAGAAAAAGGCAGTTAAAAAATATTAATGTCAATTATATAATTTAATTAATTAATAAAAAATAAAATTAACGAAATATTTTCAACTTATCACTTGGCATACCCCTACATAAACAACAATAAAACAATTACGACTAATTAACAAATGTCTACAGTTAATTAATGAATACTCAAGACGATAAATTTTTATTTTGAAAAATAATGAAAGCTATTCGGGACAGACGATAAATAAGAATTTAGCGCAGATCACAAGAGAAGAATTACACATGCAAGAGGATAAAGGACTGTTAGATGTAACTAAAGATTGATTATGAGGGTCCTCGGATTATCCTCCAGTCTCCTCAGATGAGATCGTCATAAGAGTCCTCTTCACTAGAGAGCGTACACACAGACTGATCAATAGCAAGCTCATCCTCTACGTACACTACACGAAGAGTGTTTGTGAAGCCAGAGCCCTGCTTCCATCCAGTCACAATGACAACGGTGTCTCCAGTCTTCAGGAAGCCACGATTTTTGCCGAAATTGAGGCCATACTGGACACGCAGATCAACGTCCTTCAGCCAATCAGTTACTGGTGGCTCTGAAAATTGAAAAAAAAAATAGATAAAGTGGTGAAATAGTGATTTGAGTATCTGGATTCAATTTATTTGTTCAAAAAATGAATGCGAAGAATGAATAAATTAAAGAGGAATGAGTCATTTGATTTAATGAATTAAATTATTTAAACAATTTTAATTTGATGAATTAAATAAATGCCAATTGATCACAAACTCAAACAGAATTACTCTATTAATATAAACTTTTATTAATAATTTAAATTTGAAGTGGAGCAATAAAAAATTAAAAATTTCGGATTTGGCGAAGAATAATAATAAATTAATAATAATTGATGAATTAAATAAACAAAAAATAATTAAAAATAGTAATATTATGGATAATTATTATTAATAATTATCAATTTTTTTATAAATAATTTATTTTTGCTTCCGAATTTATTATCAATAAATAAATGAATTGTTTTATGAATAAATAATTTGATTTAATGATTCAAATTACTTGAATAATTTTAATTTGATGAATTGAATAAATGCCAACTAAGAATTACTAATTATTAAGATTATTAAGAATTCATTCAAGAGATTAATCCTCAAAATTCAAGTTATATTTACACTACTTTGAACTTGAACAATTGAAAAGTCTCCAATCGCAATAAAAAGCCGTTAAACTCACCAGTATAGTGAAGTGGCAGTATTCCCCGATAGAGATGTGCCTGCCTGGCGACCTGATGGAACCTGGTGACAGCGACAATAGGACAGCGCGGCCTGTACTTGGAGATGAGATGAGCAGATCTTCCCGAAGTGGTGATAACGATTATGGCAGTGGCGCAACACTTGGCGGACGCCTCAACAGCAGCAATGGCAACAGCATGAGTGGCATCGATGGGTGGAATGGCCTTGCTCTCGAGATCATTGAAGAGCTGTCGATGCCATATGGCAGCCTCAGCCTCCTTGCATATATTAGCCATAGTGCGAACACACTCGAGGGGATAGTCACCCTTGGCGGTCTCACCTGAGAGCATAACGCAGTCAGCGCCATCGAGAATGGCATTGGCAACGTCCGATGACTCAGCCCTTGTTGCCCTGGGCTTTTTCACCATTGACTCAAGCATCTGGGTGGCGCAGATGACGGGTTTGCCGACCTTGTTGCAGCGGGAGATCATGCACTTCTGGGCCAGGAAGACCTTCTCAGGGGGAATTTCAATTCCAAGGTCACCACGAGCCACCATTATACCTGAGACAAAATTTCTCTTTTACGTGGTGAATTTATTTATATAAATAAATAAACAAATAAATATAAAGTAAATATATAAATACGAATAATGCATTTTTTAATAATAATTTATTATAAAAAATTAATTATATTTTTTATAAATATATTATATATGATTATTATATTATTACATATTTATTTATATAAATATATTTTTATTGTATATAAATAATATATATTATTTATTAACAACAATATATAATATATAATTTTTTATAATAAATTATTATTAAAAAATGCATTATTCGTATTTATATATTTAAAAAATTAAATATATAGTAAATATTAAATAATATAATATATATTATTTAAATACAATAATATATTATTTATTAAATCAAAAATTTTTAATTAAATTTATTAAATATATATATTATTGATTTTCCTTCAATTTTATTACGCACGAAAAAAATTCAGGTTCACTGCGCATTTTTTTTTTTTCGATAGAAAATGGGTAATCGACACTATTTTGAAGAGAAAATCAGTAGAATTTTGGTTTTCCGTGTAACTATTTCTTCATGAGATATTCGCTGCAGGAATTCAACATGAATTTACCAAGTTTTTCATCTTTGTTTTCCTTTTACATTAAAAAATTAAACAAAAAAAATGGAACAATAACTCAGAAAATTCGAGCCGAGTAATTTCTACAGAAAATACCTTAATAAAATAAATACTGTAAAAAAATGAAATCCTATAATTTTTTTCTCCAGAATTTTCCATCGAATTCGCTAGGTTTTGTAATGAAACTTTTTCGTACCTCTAATATTGTCAATTCTCTTGAATATTTTCAACTAGAAATGGTATTCCTGTTACATACCATCAGATGCCTCGATGATTTCGTCGAGATTGGTCATTCCCTGCTGATTCTCAATCTTCGATATGATCTTGATGTTCTTTCCCTTTTCCCCGAGAATTTCTCTGATCTCCGACAAGGCGGCTGCGTTCCTGATGAACGACGCGAATATCATGTCCACCTCCTGTTCAACGCCGAACTGAAGGTCGGACTTGTCCTTCTCGGAGACTGCTGGCAGGTCCACTGGGACTCCTGGGAGATTGACGCCCTTTCGTGAGCCCAGGGTGCCACCGTTCTCCACGCTAGTGGTGATCAGGGTGGGCGCCACTGCTGTCACGATCAGGGAGATCAGACCGTCGTCCACGAAGACTCGGTTGCCCACTTTCAGGACTTTGGAGATGTTGTCGTAGTCCACCCAGACTGTATCGCCATTTCCCTTTTCGGAGTAGGCTTTGTCCGTCGACAGCTTGAAGGTCTGACCCTTCACCAGCTCAACCTCGGCCGATCCACCCTAAAGAATTTATTGAGACATTTCGGGTTTTCTTATTTCATTCTTTCGTTTTTTGTGGGGTAATCGGTGTTGAAATTCGGGGATTGGTGAGTGATTGAGTGTTTTAAGAATGACAATTTTAAGAAAAATGTGAGTGAAANAAAAATTAAATATATAGTAAATATTAAATAATATAATATATATTATTTAAATACAATAATATATTATTTATTAAATCAAAAATTTTTAATTAAATTTATTAAATATATATATTATTGATTTTCCTTCAATTTTATTACGCACGAAAAAAATTCAGGTTCACTGCGCATTTTTTTTTTTTCGATAGAAAATGGGTAATCGACACTATTTTGAAGAGAAAATCAGTAGAATTTTGGTTTTCCGTGTAACTATTTCTTCATGAGATATTCGCTGCAGGAATTCAACATGAATTTACCAAGTTTTTCATCTTTGTTTTCCTTTTACATTAAAAAATTAAACAAAAAAAATGGAACAATAACTCAGAAAATTCGAGCCGAGTAATTTCTACAGAAAATACCTTAATAAAATAAATACTGTAAAAAAATGAAATCCTATAATTTTTTTCTCCAGAATTTTCCATCGAATTCGCTAGGTTTTGTAATGAAACTTTTTCGTACCTCTAATATTGTCAATTCTCTTGAATATTTTCAACTAGAAATGGTATTCCTGTTACATACCATCAGATGCCTCGATGATTTCGTCGAGATTGGTCATTCCCTGCTGATTCTCAATCTTCGATATGATCTTGATGTTCTTTCCCTTTTCCCCGAGAATTTCTCTGATCTCCGACAAGGCGGCTGCGTTCCTGATGAACGACGCGAATATCATGTCCACCTCCTGTTCAACGCCGAACTGAAGGTCGGACTTGTCCTTCTCGGAGACTGCTGGCAGGTCCACTGGGACTCCTGGGAGATTGACGCCCTTTCGTGAGCCCAGGGTGCCACCGTTCTCCACGCTAGTGGTGATCAGGGTGGGCGCCACTGCTGTCACGATCAGGGAGATCAGACCGTCGTCCACGAAGACTCGGTTGCCCACTTTCAGGACTTTGGAGATGTTGTCGTAGTCCACCCAGACTGTATCGCCATTTCCCTTTTCGGAGTAGGCTTTGTCCGTCGACAGCTTGAAGGTCTGACCCTTCACCAGCTCAACCTCGGCCGATCCACCCTAAAGAATTTATTGAGACATTTCGGGTTTTCTTATTTCATTCTTTCGTTTTTTGTGGGGTAATCGGTGTTGAAATTCGGGGATTGGTGAGTGATTGAGTGTTTTAAGAATGACAATTTTAAGAAAAATGTGAGTGAAATCTTAAAGGGACTGCTAGTTTTTATCTGGATTGATCTTGTCGACGAGAAAAATTCTAAAAGATATTCTCTAAAGATCTCAACATTTTATTTCGTTTGTTTCATTTCCGGAGGTAATTATTTAGTTCATAATTAATTTGGAACTGAATTAAGTTTGAAAATTCTGAGTTGCAATTACACAAATAGTTTTCATCTAGATTGATCTTGTCGATGAGAAAAAATTTAAAAGACATTCTCCAAAAATCTTTCAATATTTTACTTATTTTTTCATTTTCGGAGGTAATTATTTAGTTGATAATAAATTCAAAGCTGAATTAAGTTTTGAAAGTCTGCATTGCAATTTTAGAAAACAAAATGAAAGAAACCTTTAAGAGACTGCCAAATTTGTAATTAATCAGTGAAATTACAGAAGTAGTTTTCACAATTTGAGATTGACCCTCTGATTAATCATCAACTTGATTAAATTAGTTTTCATCTTGTCTTGTCGATGAGAAAAAATTTAAAAGATCTCTCACCATTTTATTTATTAATTTTTTTCATTTCCGGAGGTAACGATTTATTTGCTAATGAATTTAGAATTGACTTGACTCTTGAAATTCTGTGTTTCAATTTTAGAAACAAAATGTAAGAGAAACCTCCAAGAGACTGCCTAATTCGTAATTAATCAGTACAACTACACAAATAGTTTTAATCCTTTGGGATTAATTTCAAAAGCGACTTACGCCTTCCAAGAGACCAGTACGAATCTCCGGGCCCTTGGTATCAAGTGCAATAGCCACTGGAACATTGACTTTGTTCCTCTCCGAGAGATTCTTCTGCGCCTGTCTCACATTGGCAATTGTCTCAGCATGATACTCGTGAGAGCCATGAGAGAAGTTCATTCTGGCGATGTTCATGCCGGTCTCAATCATCTTCTCGAGCATCTCCACGGACCTTGAGGCAGGCCCAATGGTGCAGATGATGCCAGATAGACGGTAGAAGGCCGCACGAGAGTCAATGTCAAGGGCGCACATGTGGTCGAGATGACTTTGCTCAGTTTGAGCTCTTGGACCCTGTCCTGCTGCCATCTGCAATAATTCGGGGGTGAATCGGGGTCTCGGGGGTGGGCACTGCGAACCCATCGTCGACGCAGAGTTCCATTTGACGAATCGAAATCCATTTGATAGAACTCATCAGTGAGAGGGGTCAGGGGTGAGAGGGAAAAACTTTAGGAGACGAATCCAAAAATTTCGGGTAGATTATTTTGCAAATACTTTGAAGCGAGTGGCTTTGAATATTGACGATTATAAGTGAAGAAATCTAGTTCAGCGGTTGAAATTCAGTAGCGAAGCGGTAAACCGGGTTAAGTCGATTTTTACTATTGGCTAATTTTTGACGAATATCTCGGAATCTAAAAGAGATAGAAAGATTTTTGTCATGACCTTTTTTGTAGAGCCAATAGAGCGTTATAAAAAAAGTCATAAGAAAAATTTTGCTATCTCTCTTAGATTCCGAGATATTCAGCAAAAACTAGCTAATAGTCAAAATCGACTTAACTCGGTTTACCGCTTCACTACTGAATTATTCTCTGAAACTTACGGGATTAGAAAATATCAACAATAATTTCCTCGTAGGAGCTCAAGCCTCTGCACTTTCAAAGTAATGTAAAAATGTTTTTGGATCCACTCGTTTCTATCACTCTACACTGAGAGAACAACAAACACGTTGTCAAACGAGTCTTGTTTGGGCCAACAAAATCGCCAGTTGAAAATTGCCAAAAAAGAATTTGTTTGGTTCGAATTTGAAAGTCCCAAACATGAATAATTGGTCTGGTTTCGACAGCAACGAAATATCTGACTCAAGAGGCGGATGCAATTTTTTTTCAACTACTAAATCTATTTTTGCGACAAAAATTTTTCATTCCAGCGCACTCTCTGCATGTTTGGCACGAAAAAAACCTTTTTTGATAATTTTCAAAAAACTATTTTCTTGGCACAAGTAAGACTTGTTCGAGAACTTTGTCGTTTTTCTCTCAGTGTACGACTGAATTAAATAGCATCTGTTATTGTCACTGCCATGGCCTTCCTCTGAACCGCCAGCATTAAATCTGGCTCATACCGGAAAAATTTAACAACTCGTTTCGTCACACCACAGCAGGAGGGCTTCCACTGCCAAGCGAAATCACTTGAATCCAAGTTTATCAGTTCATTAACTATCAATCAATGCAACAAACACGATACTCAAGCTCTCTACAAGCACGCTTTCGCCGATATCTCCAAAGCTATCCAGTTTATCAAAAAATGTGACAAGACCTTTTTTGTAGCCCTCGAAATTTCCCACAAAAAATGTCATGTGACATTTTCCCCCAGAACCCCCGATTTCCGAGATATCGGCGAAGTTACACGTTCAAGAGTAAAAAATCGGGTGAAAAAAAATCTGCAAGTCGTTTAATAACAGAAAAGGGACAGCAAGCAATTACATAAGGAAAAAAAACCTTAGTTGAGGGAAAATCAAATTAAAAATAGACTACTAGTCCAACGCCAGGAGGTATCGGGTAGGTGAAACGAAAATAGAACGATAGGAGCTCAAAAACTGTTTTCTTACCGCATCACTCTCACAAATCAATAAAACACAAGCTACTCAACTAAATCCAAAATAATCAAATAAACTACTTTTAAATAATGCCAATTAAACAGCGAAATTAACAGCAATTGCAATATAACAATAAATCAAAGAAAGAAAAAATAAAGATTTTGTGATTACAGAAAGCACCGAAAGTAGAAAAAGTTTAATTCATTTAAATAAAATTCTGTTTCTCTCGTTAAACTAATACCTTATCGTCGACTGTAATCCAGACCATTTTGTTGGGCTGCGTAAATAAAGGGGAAAAAATACGAATTAGTGACGCGTTACCAGAATTTACAATTTTTACAGCATTATTGAATCTACTCGTATTGAGTGAGGAGATACTTCTCAAACGTGATATTTGATTTATCGAGGGATTTAACAGTCTTATCATTCGAATTGTTGACGTGTCGACTGCCTCGTCGCAGGTCGGACACTAGTCTGAGGTGTTGGTACCTCTAAATATACTAATAGCATATAGTCATCACCTCGATCTCAATGAGCATTGTTTATGGAGGAAAAACAAGTCATGACCATGACACGATAATTTTTTTTAATCGTTTTTAAGGGATTTAAATGTTTAGGTGGTGCTCTGGGGTGGAAATATTATTTCAAAGTGGGATTTGGGGATCATTCAGTGCAGGATGCTGTTATTTATTCGATTAAGCGATGATTTAGGGTGAATTAAGAGCCGTCGGTTTATTTGAAAAAAAAAAAAAAAAAAAAAAAAAAAAAAAAAAAAAAAAAAAAAAAAAAAAAAAAAAAAAAAAAAAAAAAAAAAAAAANAATAATGTTATACCCTATGTTTTTGCATGTTCATCAGGCATTTCCATCCAGTCAAATGAAACTCACAATTATTTTAATTAAATAATAAAATGAAAGTAAAATAATTGCATCTTATTATTTAATTGAAATTTTTAAAAATTATATTATTATAATATAGTAATATAATAGTAATATTCAATTTAATTATATTATTTAATTAAATTACTTGAATTCAATAATAGAATGAAATTAAAATAATAATGTAATTTATTTGATTGTTTATTTCAATTAATGAAGAATACGAAATTAAGGAAATTATATAATAATTCAAATGAGAAGCTTTCGGGGACTTAATCATTGAAAAGTGCATCAGGGATTCTCAGACTGGTGACACAGTCAGAACTTGATATGATGCTAGAAGCGAGCCTTGAAGGCCGGAAAACCAGTGGCGCGATGTGACGCACATGAGCAGTTTTTCAAATACTTTGTTGTGAATTCAGTTTATCTAGTCAGTGATATCGTTTCACGGCTCGCCGCATCTAACGATTCTAGTGCCGGGGGGTTACGATGGGTTAATCGGCTGACCTTGAATTTTGGTTTATCTTGCTGGGTGGAAATGCAAAGCCAAGGAAACCGATTTTTCACACTTCGGGAAGTAGATAACAAGTCGACTTAGCTCTGAAAACTCGTTCGAGTTTTTGAGGAATATCTCCGAATCTAAGGCAGATACCGTAATTTTTGTAATGACCTTTTTTGTGGAGCGAATTGAGTGCTGTAGAAAAGGCCCTGTTGAAAATTTTGCTATCTCCCTTAGATTCTGAGATATTCATTGGAAACTGGGAAATGGTCGAGAGAAGAACAAACACGTTGTCAAACAAGTCTTGAAAGAAATGAGATTTCTTGCGTGTACAGAGAATGCAATTTTTTTTCAACTACTAAATCCATTTTTGCGACAAAAATTTTTCATTCCGCCGCTCTCTCTGCATGTTTGACACAAAAAAATCATTTTTTGATCATTTTCAAAAAACTATTTTCTTGGCTGGTACTGAATGTTTTGAGTACATTGTTTTTCCTCTAGGGGTTCTGTAAAATTCTGTCTATCGACACCAATTAAAAGTCAATTTATCAGAAAACCGGGAGATAGCAATATTTTTCCACAAATAAAGTTTTTAACGATCGCTTAAAAAGTCATTATTGAACGGAATTCGATAACGTCTTGGGGAATTCGAACTTTCAATGACAAGAAATTCCAGGAGTGACTCAATCCAACAAAATCGTAGAATGCTGCACATCACTTTTTCCATTAATAAAAAAAATTCTATTTCACTGCAATATCCTTTTCTAGCCACTAAAAATTGTTCAAACAATCGATGCGTCACAGTCATGCACGTGTAAACAACATTTAAAAATAACGCATAAACTGTAATTGTGAAAAATCTAAGTGTCTTTGACCGTTAATCTCTCATGCGTGCACAGCACACTCCAGATCTCTCCACAATAATTTTTTATCACTTCCTCATTATTTGGACCAAAAATTTCTCTAGTGAAATACTTGATATTTAACAATGATTTTATTATTTAAACTTTGCAGCTCTGAATTTTAATTTCGATATTGAACCGTTAAAAAACATTTTAAAAGTCTGAAAAAAATCGGAAGTCATTCAATTCATTGTAATTTATTAATAAGATTAATATGAAATATACATTATATATTTTACATTAATATATATCAATTAAATTTTTTATAAATCAATTTTTTGTTCATAAAAAAATAAAATTGAATTAAATTAATTTTTTTCATTTTTTTTCTATTGATCGACATTTACTAAATAAAAAAATATGGCCCAGTCGTCCAGAAATCAGGGGTTTTCACCTGCATTCGACAATTTCTTAACTTCATTATTCTTCATTTTGTTATTTTGACTTCAAATAATTTTTTTCTGTTAATTAAACCATTTTTCAAGGTACGAAAGCCATTCACATCTCCCCATTCAGGTGACTCTTTTATTTTAGATCCTATCGCTGGCCTGTTTACTCCAGACGCCACTAAACAAACGAATAAAAAAATGGTAGTGACGCCGCTAACAAAATGTTGAGTATTTGAGGTAAAATATGAGGATGTAATGCAACATCGGATGTTCAGCGCGTGCGAGCGTGCGCCCCAGCACCATCAGCGACCGGGCACGTCTCAACCCCGTGACAAATCCCCAATTTTTCCATGAAAAAGCCGTTCTCTCACCTCCACACCCAAACCGAATTATCCCCCCTCGTGGACTAGCTTCACGACTCGCCGAGGGCTTCGCAAAAACCGTCGAGGCTGATTACTAAACCGCGAAGGTCGCACTATCGATTGTCGCGGCGAACAGAATTACAATAGAAGTTAAAAAAAAAAATGCGGGGCAGAGGGAAATGTAACGGCTCCCAGCGCAGGAAGTGAGAATGACCGGAATCACGGGAATTATCGGGATTTGGCAGAGATTGTGGAGTAATTATCGTTATCGATGATTTACCGGGGATTAAAATTCATATCTTACCTTTGCAAGTCGTCGATTAGTCGCGGAAATTGAGAAACTGGAGCAAATTGAGTTGTTCGCGAGCTCGAGAGGTGCGAGATGCCGACGTACGAGTGACTGACAGCGACTGCTTCGATCTGAGGACAACGAAGGTCAATGTAATGGCGTCACCGGCTTTTGGCTGCGTCGGTCAGGGGAGTCCCCCATTTATCGAGGGAGTTGAGGTAAAGTAGAGTTTCGAAGGCTGAGAGCGAAGAGAGAGAGAGAGAGAGAGAGAGAGAGAGAGAGAGAGAGAGAAGAGTATTTTCCATTCGATGGCATTACTCGAGGAATAATAATAAGGGAGAACCTGGAGACGCACACGTGGGTCGAGTCCATCGATTTTGGGAGCTTTTCACAGTTCTGCGGTCGTTATCGGTGAATTCACACATTGTGTTGCTGGAAAAGTTGGTGAGTGGCTCAATAAAATTGAATTGATGGGGTAATTGGGGGAAGAGGCGACTCGAGTTAATTTGGGGTTCGGAGTAATTTTTGGGGAGAAAGAGCTGGGAGAGGGTTTTTGTGAAGTTCCATGAATTATTATTCATTTTTCATGATATTTTGGGATTTCTAAATGTCAAAATGTCAACAGTTGATGATAAATGCTGTTTTCCTAAATTTTTTCCATTGTATTGCATGAAATTCCTACAATATTCATTTTATTCACAACAGTACTACGAAATTGCTGAATAAAAATTGGGGGAAGCGGTGACTCGAGTTAATTTTGAGTTCAGAATAATTTTTGGGAGAGGATTTTCGTGAATTCCGATGAATTATTATTGACTTTTCATGTTTTTTTTTGGTATTTCAAAATGTCAAGATATCAACACTTGATAAATGCTGTTTTCCTCAATTTTTTCAATTGTATTGCATGAAATTCCTACAATATTCATTTTATTCACAACAATACTACGAAATTGCTGAATACAAATTGGGGGAAGCGGTGACTCGAGTTAATTTTGAGTCCAGAATAATTTTTGGGAGCGGGTTTTCGTGAATTCCGATGAATTATTATTGACTTTTCATGTTTTTTTTGATATTTCAAAATGTCAAGATATCAACATTTGATGATAAATGCTGTTTTTCTAAATTTTTTCAATTGTATTGCATGAAATTACTACAATATTCATTTTATTCACAACAATACTACGAAATTGCTGAATAAAAATTGGGGGATGAGATGACCCGAGTTAATTTTGAGTTCAGAATAATTTTTGGGAGAGGATTTTCGGGAATTCCGATGAATTATCATTCTGTTTTCATGTTATTTTGGTATTTCAAAATGTCAAAATCTCAACAGTTGATAAATGCTATTTCCCTAAATTTTTTCAATTGCATTGCGTGAAATTGCTGAATAAATTAGGATTTATTCCGTTGTTTTTGACCTCTTGTAGCAACAATGAAGGTCAGAACGGCCCAGGAAATGGAAGAGGAGCGAGTGAGAACTCTCTACATTCGCCTGCCCCACACAATAAAGAATATCGACGAGATTCGTGATCTCATTTTCGGTGATGTTGACATCAAGCTGCCGAGACAGTCGGGGAGACACTGCCACGTTGTTTTTCCGAGTGTCGAAGAGAAGCTCAAGAACATGAAGGCCCTCAAGAAGAAGCTCATCGACAACAAACACATCTTCGTGAGCAATGCCAAACTGCAGGATCCTGACGTTAAGAAGGAGAAGCAGATGAAGATGAAGAAAGTCAAACCTGTGGTGATCCGCAAGCCGAAGGAGCAGACGAAGGTCACCAAGATGTGAGTTTAGTATTTGTGATGATTTCTGGGTTATTTCATTCTATTAGAGCCAATAAAATTATTCTTCTTTAATGATTTTTCCCACGAATTCCAACTGAGATGAGTGTAAAAAATTGATTTATCCATTTTTTTCTCCAATTATTTTTCTGAACAGTAGTCTCTTGTTTGACTAGAATTTTTAGTTAAAAAAAAAAATTTCCAGGTTTTTTATCGATTTTAATTTTCTTCTTAACCTTAAAGTTCATTTTCTCATAAAATTCTGTCATTTTTGCAGTTCTAGATTAATTAATATGAATAATTCTAGACTGCAGATTATTTCTATTCATATTAACTTCTGTTTAGAATTTATTTCAGATTTTGATCTTCAAAAATCAAGTCATGTTTATTAAATTAATCATGAATGAAATTTGCAAGTATTTTATAAATCAGTAATGGACCTTGAAATTCAAAAATTGAATGTATAAATTTGGAATTAATTGTTTAATAATAATTGAAGATTAGTGAAATTAGTGAAATTATTCATCTTTGATGATTTTCCCATGAATTCTAACTGAGATGAGTGGAAAAAATTGATCTATCCATTTTTTTCTCCAATTTTTTTTCTAAATAATAGTCTCTTGTTTGACTAGAATTTTTTTTTTAATTTTTACAGATTTTTTATCAATTTTAATTTTCTCCTCAACCTTGTAAATTCATTTTCTCATAAGATTCTGTCATTTTTGCACTTCTAGATTAATTAATATGAATAATACTAGACTGCAAATGATCCTATTCATATTAACTCCTGTTTAGAATTTATTTCAGATTTTGATCTTCAAAAATCAAGTCATGTTCATTAAATTAATCATGAAAGAAATTTGCAAAAATTAAATGCGTAAATTTAGAATTAATTGTTTAATAATAATCGACGATTAAAATGACTTTCAAATTCCAATAAAAATTAGGGAGCTTTGATTAATTTAAGGTAAACTTCTATTAATATTACTAAAGTAGTGATTTTTTAAAATTCTGTTTCAGATGCTTTCTCCACAAGATCCCGAAGTCGGCGACGGTTAAGGACCTCAAGAAATTATTCCCAGAAGCTAAAAATGTTGCTATTCTCTATAAACAGAGGCTCCAGGATAAGTGAGTTTTTAAAAAATTCCATTTTGTGCACAAAATATTCTTAATTTGGCAAAAATCCCACAATTCCACTCGGCCATTCGGACAATTGTTGAAAAATCTCTCACAATTTTCATTCGCCATCAGTTGTTCATCAAATAATTAATTCTCGGATTATTGTTTCTCTCAAAGTGTTAATTTCGATGGAAGAACTGGAATCGTCAAGTTTAGAGACGTGAAAACAGCAGCTGCGTATTTGAACAAAGAGCGCCCAATGCCTGTGTGCAAGGGAGTCCAGCTTGAAATTCACCGAGACAAGAGGAGGCAGAAGAATAAGAAGAAGAACAAGGCGGAAACATTGAAAGTTTACGATGACGTTAAGACTGACGTGAAGGATGAGGAGGAAGTGAAGAGTGTGCCAGAGGATGAGGAGGAGGTCGAGAGTGTGCCAGAGGATGAGGAGGAGGTCGAGAGTGAGCCAGAGGATGAGGAAGAGGAGGAAGATGGAGATGACGAAGACGCTAATGAGAGCAGCGATGAGGAGGAATAATTTACTCGTCCTCTAGCTGAGAAAATAGTCGTAAAAAGTGTACAGTTATCTTCCACTTCAGAATTTGTAAAAATGGGAGAGAGAAGAGGGGAAGAGGTCCAGCGTTGAACGTGAGGACACGAAATAATCGACTTCTAGGATAATTCCGTTCAATTTTTGTTCGTATTTTTAATATTCTTCATAATTTGTTTCCTTCGCTTTTACATGTGGAGATGAAAATAAAGTTCATGTTCTTTGTAAATTTGTTTCTCGACTCCTCATCACTTTGACGATGTAGTAGATAATGAAATAGAGGATTTCGAATACTGAGACGACGCTGCAGCCGAGAAATAGACTGAAAACGCCCCCCAGCGAAGCTGTGAACAGAAGTATTTTAAACATTAGATGACAACCGTTTGCTCAAGCGGTCTTCAGCAATTTTATGAGTAGAAGTGAAGTTGAAGAATGAGGGGCTTCTTTATTATTCCAATGTTTTTACTGAAAAAATGTAAACATTGATGCATTCAAAGAACAAGTGTTTATATTATTTTTTTAATTAGACGAGAACAAGCTCGTCGAATTTGTTTGGTTCGAATTTGAAAGTCCCAAACATGAATAATTGTTCTGCTTTCGACAGCAACGAAATGTTTGGCTCGAGAGGCGGATAATTCACACCAGACGGTGCCTTTTCAGGATGAAAATATCCCATACAGAGGAAAATTTATCAACAAATATTTTAATCCTAAGTTACAAGGTTGCTATCATATCATTATTATTTTCATTTAAGGGTTCATTTCTTGTCTGTGATTATTAGACAGGCGAAACGAAAAACTACTATCCCTTGTTCCGCATAAAACAAAGAATTTTCGGGAGCAAAATGCGTATGGGAGTATCGAATAACGAAGGAGTAGTGCTAGAAATGACATTTCTTGCGTCCACAGAGAATGCAATTTTTTTTGAACTACTAAATCAATTTTTGCGACAAAAATTTTTCATTCCGGCGCACTCTGCATGTTTGGCCCAAAAAATCCTTTTTTGATAATTTTCAAAAAACTATTTTCTTGGCACAAGTAAGACTTGTTCGAGAACTTTGTCGTTTTTCTCTCAGCGTAGGTTCGATAATTGTCCAGAAATTTCGCGCCCCATTTTTCCACGAAATTGTGTCGTCTTTTTTTATTTGTTATACTCACATACTAAATTAATCCAAGACAGGACTAAATCTCGTCTGAATTTCATCCCAGTTTGTCGTGGGAATGTGATGTGAATCGCAGTGGCATTTGGATATTTCGCGGCAACTCGGCTGCAAAAAAAGAAACAAATATATTGTTCAATCAAAGTACCTTCATAAAAAAATATTTACTAAAATCTCGACGGATTGTGTTGGGCGGCATTCATAGGCACCACAGTTGTGACAACAGCGAAGTCCGTGCCATCGCAAGTTGGAAGACAATTGCAGGGTTCTTCCCTGATAGGCGTCTGCAAAACTCGAGCTTTCACCTTGGACAAGCACGAGACATGAGTAAAATTGCAAACGGTCTCGTGCTCCCGCACAAAAGACGCATAATAGGGGACACAGTTGCAGTAGGACCTGAAGAGCTTCTCGTGACAGGCGGTCACGCAATTGTCAAGTTTGTAGATGCCATCCTCCGTTTGGGAAGAGCGGCAGTCGCGCTCCTTCCGCGGTAAATCCAGTACCTCGGGACTGGCTGTCAGTACACGACCATAAAGATACGCTATCATTTCACTCCCCTGACGGGCTATGAATTCACGTGCCGAGGGGCCCGGATACGTGTGAGAATCGTGTATGAGCACTCGGGCCCCATCGCCGTACGTTAATCCGCAAATTCTGTCCTCTGGACCGTAACTCTTCAGGATAACCGAGAAGATGTAGTTGTGGCCGAAAAAATGACTGTACAATTCTTCACCTTGGGCCCATCTGGACATAAACATTACAGCTGAAATACTATTTGAAATATGTATTCTAAGTTCACTATTTCGGACGATTAAATATCATTTATTTATACGTATTCTTGAAATTGAAATAAAATTGTTATTTGGTATTTCATTTCAGTGAAATTGAAAATTAAATGGTATTTACTATTTTATTTCACTACTAGGGGGCTTCGCCCCCTGCTCGCTCCGCTCGCCAACCCGGGGGG